CTCACAAATTTCTAGCATCTCACACTGAGACTGTATTAATGAGAAAACACAGCTTAAATGAGAACACTTGGGTAGGTCCTCATCTAATCTGACTGGGGTCCTTAGCAAACGAGGAAACAGGACCCAGACACAATGCACAGAGGGAAACCACAGGAACACAGGGAGAGAACAGCCAAGGAGAAAGGGCCCAAAAGAAACCAACACCCGTGACACCTCACCTTCAGAACCGCGAGAAACCACACGTTCTTGTGTGAGCCACCAAGTCACAGGTGTTTCATTATGGCAGCCCCAGCAACATACCCACTAAGTCCCTCCACATATTAGCAGGTCACTTTTTCCAAAATATATATATTTAAACTTCACATACGACAGAAAATATACATATCTGTGAATGTGTGGCTTATTTCACTTACCGTAATAGCCACCAAGAACATCCATTTGGCTGCACATGGCATTACATCCTTTCATTTAAAGATTTCTTTATGTATTATGAAAGAGTAAAACAACAGAGAAAGAGGGAGAGGGAGAGGGAGAGGGATGGGGAAAGAGAAAGAGAGAGAGAATGAGAGCGAGAGCAAGAACGAGCTTCCATATACTGCTTCATTCCCTGACTACTGCAACAGCCCGGGATAAGCTGGGCCAGAGCGAGGAGCCAGGAACTCCATCCTGGTTCTCCCACATGCATGGCAGGAGCCCCAGCACTTGGGCCATCTTCCACTGCCTCCCTGGGCACACTAGCCAGGAGCTAAAATGGAAGTGGATCAGCCAGACTTGAACCAACACTCTGGATATGGGATGCCAGTGGCAAAACCCACTGTGATACAACCCAGGCCCCAGATGTGGGCATCTTCACCGCTAAGCCAACCCCTGGCCTGTGTTGCCTTTCTCTGAACACCTTCCTCCCTGGTCCCCTTAATGGCCATGGTAACTGACTCCCACCAACAGCGTGTCAGGGTACCCTTTTCTCTACGTTCTCACCAGGGTGCATCAGGCCTTTTTGTACTGGAAGACAGTGGAGCTCAAAGATGGATTCAGGGGATGTTTTTGTCCTGGGAACTTTTCTTCCTCACTTCAGGCACTCAACTAGAGGTTTGCACTTGTTGTCCTATCACACGGCCCATTTTGTATTGGGAAATCCAGGCCCAAAGATATTAAATGACAGATGCACTCAGTGTGGAAGCAAAGAGCTGGCATGGGGGTCACTTCTGAGAGCCACAGCCCAGCTTCCCTCTCCTTTCCGAGGTAGCTCTTCAGTGAGACTGACTCCCACCCCATATGGGAATAACGTAATGATCACCATGGCCGCCTTTCTCTGCCCACGCACAGGGAATGAAGCTGTGCCCTGACAGTCACTTCCCCTGCGTGTTTTCATGGCATCTTCCCAACAGCCCTCCCGGGCAGACGACTCCCCTTGTTCAGACAAAAGGGCACTGAGATTCAGAATGCCTAATAGCTTGCCCAAGGTTGTCTAATTCTACCAAAGCCCAGGACTCAACCCACGTCTGATCCCCGGGCCCCTGCTCTAAGCCTTGCTCCACCCGAGCCCCAGCACCAGGGCAAGGAACCGCAGGGCGCTGCCCTAGGACACTCACCCACAACTTCCACCTGGACTACGCCCTCTGCCTTCTGGGGGGTGACCACCACCTCACAGCGGTACTCTCCGGCTTCCCTGAGCTGGATGCCAGGCAGCCGCAGTGAGGCGTCTCCCCTCTCCAGCAGCTCAAGAGGCACGCTGGCTCCAGGTCGGAATGCTGCTTGGTGACCGCCATAATACTCATACAGCCTGGCTTCCATTTCCGATCCTCCAATCTTCTGAAACCAGATGACACCCATGAAGCTGCTGTCCAGGAGTGGGGAACCGGGGATCTTACAGTAGATGGTGACATCGTCATTGAGGAACATGACCTGAGTCTTCCCTGCCATCTCCACTTTCAGAAAACCTGTGGCGACAGGAGAACTCAGTTATAGGAGCCCCTTGGCAAATAACAGGCCCGCAGCTCAAACACAACCACATGAATGGCAAGCAAATTCCTTTAGGGCATGGATAGGGAAGGACTCAGGACAGGGGTCCTTTGTCCATGGCCCTGCTACAGTGGTAAGTGGAGGGTTCGACCCCCGCCCATACATCAAGATGGCTCCTGCTGATATGAAGCCCAGGAACTGGTCTATCCACGAGAAAGCATGAGGCAGATGAACGAGCAAACGAGCTGATTTTCAGCAAAGTATTTTATTGAAAAGTACAGAGGGACTGAAAGCTAAGGGGCAAAGTTCCCAGTGAAACAACCAGGAGGAGCTTCTTCCCAGGAAAAAGTTGTGAAAGGAAGTCATCTGGGGGTTTTATACCACTGGAAAATTTGTCCATGGACTTTTCAAGGAAAGCACTTCTTGTGTGGTCAGCTCATCCTGCCTTCTCGTGTCCTATTCCTCCCATTAGGCTTCCTCTTGGATGGAGAACAGGTTCTGTCTTGGGGCCTTCTGCAGGAGGAGGTGGGGATTGCCTTCCACAGTAGATCCAGCCACCTGGCCTTCTGCGTGGCCTTGGCACCTGAGTGCACTTTTCTACAGACTCTTCCACAAATTTATTTATTAATTTATTTTTAATGGTAAGCTTTTTTTTTTCAGTACCAATCAGTCTTCATTTATTCATTGTACTTCCCCAAGGAAAGGAGAAGGGATGGGAAAGTCAGCCAGGTCTCCCACATGGGTGCAGAGGCCAAAGCACTTGGGTCATCTGCTGCTGCTTTCCCGGGTGCATTAGCAGGGAGCTGAATCAGAAGTAGAGCAGCTGGGACTGGAACCCGTGCCCACGTGGCATGCCAGCACTGCATGCAGCCGCTTAACCTGCTACCCCAGAGCACTGACCCCCTAAACAGGCATTTTGATCAACACATTCTTGGCCATCGAATATGGACAACATGATCCAACACAAAAGGGAAACTTCTCACCCTCCACTATAAAAAGGGCAGTCCAATACCAACTGTTACAGAAATGAAGTCACATGGAAAACTTTCACCAACTGCATGACCTGTCTTCTCGGAGGCGTCCTCCACAGAGAGATCTCGCTTGGCCTCCTGGTCAGTCCCTGGAAGCATTTCTCATCTTCCACCCAGGGAAGACAACCAGCTTTCTCCACACTTGCCTGCATGTCAGCTTTAATGTCTTCTACAGAACCAGGTCCTTTAGGTGCTTTAGGAGTGTTTCCTGCTTTTTGAGGGATTGCTGACCTTTTGATGTTGGGTTCATGGTTTTGAGCCCTTCCCATGCTGGCTGGATTTTGTGACTTTTGGCTGGGGTATCTCCTATACAGCTGCTTCTTCAGTCTCCTCCTCATCGTCATCTCCATTGCCACCACCTCCATCAGCGGCAGGTTTTGCTTTTCCTGAGGTACCTTGCTGCACCCCTAGGAGCAGATCGCTTTCCAGATTTGCTTAAGAGTCTCACGTCCTCCTCTTCTTCAGTCCATGTCTTCCTCCCTGGCCACTAAGGGCGGTCCACTCACATGCACAGGCCCTGAACCACACTTTAACCTGAAGACACGGGTGATGCTATTTCAAAGCCACCCAGGGAAACCATTGGTCATGCATTTCCAAAATTGCCAGGGTGCCTGTAACTGGACTGGCCGCATCATTCATTGCTTCTGCCTCAACAATGTGACGTGCATCCTGTGCACCAGCACCAACTGGACATCGTTAATATAACAAGTGCTGATTTTTCACTGTCCACTTCAAAGTGAGACTCTCTGTTAGCCTTTACTTCACAACCAGAAAGATAGTTCTGGGGCCTCGTGTCCATGTCCACTGATCTTCCACGGGGCAGAGGCATGCACTGGTCTAGGAGAGCAGGTGGACAGAATCAGCCACCCACTGCCACAATAGAACAGCCGGGCAGACTGGGCCACGCCAGGCTTTTAATCTTTTTGAAGCTGTTGTACATGAAATTGCTTTCTTAACTTTATTTTCAGAGTGTGCACTCAAATGCTTAGAAATACTATTTATTCGTTTTGTTATCATCAGGCAACTACTCTGTTTAATGTCTATATTTTTGCATTTATTTATTTGAAAGGCAGAGAGAGAGAGAGAGAGAGAGAGAGAGAGAGAGAGGTCTTCCATCCCCTGGTTCACTCCACCAAATGGCTGCAAAGGACCCAGCTGCACCAGGTGGAAGCCAAGAGCCAGGAGCTTTTCAGTCTCCCACCCTGGTGCAGAGGCCCAAGCTTTTCCAGGCTTAGCAGGGAGCTGGATGGGAAGTGGAGTAGTCGGGACTCAAACCGGCATCCACAGGGATGCCAGCGCTGCAGGCTGTGGCTTTAACCCCCATTTTTACTCTCTTTAGAGCTTACTTCTGTTTCTCAAACTTGGGGAAACAGCATATGCGTTTACAGACATACATGTCGCGTGTGTGTATATGGCATAAACGCTTATGGCACAAAGCCTTTCCTCTCTTCACTCTGCCTTCAAGATCCCGCCAGAGCGCTAAGCCTGCAGTTGAGGCAGCCCCTGGCTCTCTGGAGGCCACAGCCGGCCCCGCCCACCCACCCCCCATCCCCTCCTCTCCACTGGCCACACCCAGAGGGTCTCCCTCATCCCACTCCCCATCACCACCACCTAGCATCGCCAAGCCTCTCTGGCCATTGGCCCGTGTTCTGTTCTCTCTCCTATTCAGCCCTGGTCTCCAGTTAGTCATGCCTTAGAGTACTCCATTTTCAGTCGTTCCGCCTCCTGGCGGCGCCGTGGGTCGTGCAGCTGGCGGCGCCGTGGGTCGTGCAGCAGAGCCGGGCACACAGTTCACCGGAACCCAAGGAGCGGGGCCTGACTTGGGCGACCCCTAAAGCGCACACTCTTAGGACACAGTCTGGGGGCTGTCACCCGGCACACAGAATGCCTTCAGGACAGTCACCTGTGGAATCGCTACCCGAGTCTGTATTTCACGAAGCAAGGCTCCGAGGCGGGCTGGCGACGGCAGCGTCCCGTCCCCACGCCCTCTCCCCAGACCCCGGGCCCCCCCACACCGCACCGTCCCCTCCGCTCCCTGGCCCTACCTGTCGCCCCCAGCGTGCCCCACACTGCCAGTAGCAGCGGCGTCGGTCCGAGCCCGCTCGCCATTCACTCAGCCGCTCTGCGTTCCGTCCTCTTGCCGTCCGCTCCGCAGGTGCCGGCCGCTGAGCAGAGCACTGCTGTCAATGCTTCCGCAGCCGGGGGCGGGAGAGGAGACGGGTCTTCTGCCGCGGACGCGAGCTCAGGGCGCAACCCCCAAGTATGAAACGACTCTGGAAACCCTCTGGAGTAGCCGGCGACGCCTGGAGCCAGATGAGGCACGTGATTACGCTGACAACCAGACGCGGCGCGCGGCTCTGCGACGCGCGGCTCTGCGGCACGCCTCCCTACGATTGGCGTGGACTCTCGCGGCTCTCGGAATTTGGGATCACCCACGGAAAGCCCCCGACCTGGAGAGGGGACTCCGGGCACCAGGTCCGAGCCTGAGGCGCTGTTCGCAACGAATGAGCTCAGAAACCCAGCGCCAGGGGGCGGAGCGGCTCGCCCGGCGGCCTTGAGCTTGGCCGCGGGGTGGAGCGGGCGGGCGGGGCGGCGGTCCCCGCTGTAGGCGTGGTGGCGGGCCGGCGGCGCTCACAACACTGGAAACACCTCCTTTCCTGGAGGTCTCTAAACCCCGAGAGGCAGAGAGAGATGTCTGGAGGTGAGAGACCAGCAGAGCGTGCCCGTCCCCCAGCTCCCTCTCAGCAGGAAGCTGGCTCAGCCAGAGCTCAAACCCAGGACTCCCATATGGGCTTCTCACCCGCCCTGCATTCTTCCCACTTTGTCAAACGTCTTCTCCCCCACGGAATGAAAAGGCAAATACTACATATTTTTCGGGTTTTACGTGTGCCGTAATTAAAGATGAATCCCTGCACACAATAACTGAAATAATAGTTTTAACAAAAACTTACCCTGAAAAATTGATGGAACATTTATAAAACGAATCCAAGTATACCAACTGCTGTAGTGTAAAGTCTGTCTTTCTCATTCTCTATCAAATTGAAATCCCAATATTTGTAGTTTGAAAAACAGTCCAAACTCTAAATAAGCCAAAAACAAATCAAAATGCCTTCAGGCTAATGAAAATTTTTTCGTTTAGAAATTAACAAAGCATTTTCAGTCACATACTTATAAAGATTGCTTTTGTAACTCAGCACTTAAAGAGAAAATTATTTTAATTCCCCCCAACTTGGTAATAATAAAATCAAAGGTCCTTAAAATCCTGACTTTAAATTAAGATGTGTAGCCTTCACATTAAATGGTCCTAAAACACTAGCTTCCTTCATTTATTTATTTATTTTAAAGACTTATTTTATTTTTATTTGAAAGAGTTACAGAGAGAGGTAGAGACACAGAGCGAGGTCTTCCATCCGCTGGTTCACTCCCCAGATGGCCACAATGGCCAGAGCTGAGCCCATCTGAAGCCAGGAGCCAGGAGCTTCTTCCAGCTCTCCTACGTGGGTGCAGGGTTGGGACATCTTCTGCTGTTTCCCTAGGCCACAGCGCACAGCTGGATCAGAAGAAGAGCAGCTGGGACTAGAACTGGCTCCCATAAGAGATGCCTACACTTCAGGCCAGGGCTTTAACTCGCTGCACCACAGGCTGGCCCCAGCTGCCTTCATTTAAAGGAAAAGCAGTGAAGGAAATGTTTTCTCACGGTTTAATTGCACATGCAATTTTGTTTCCAGAAGACACTGATGGTCTTCTATACAGACCTATTCTAGGCACAAGCATTTAAATACACACCCACATATTCCAGCCAAAATGCTGTTCCTTCAGTTACAGGCCACATAACTTGGTACGCATGTAGCAGGATGCCTGCACCGAGACAACACACCAAGACCTCCTACCAGGAAGCAGTCTTTTATTATGCCGGCTTAAGGCCCAGGTGATTTTGTTTTTTTTGTTAAGATTAATTTATTTATTTGAAAGACAGAATTACAGAGAGAGTTAGAGCTAGAGAGAGAGAGAAAGGTCTTCCATTTCACTGGTTCACTCCCCAAATGACCAGTGGCAGGATGATCATCGTCATCCTGGAGGGAGTGGTGGAAACCACAGGCATCACCACCCAGGCCCCACCTCCTACCTGGCCGACGAGATCCTGTGGGGCCAGCAGGAGAAGCAACAGCACACAGGTGCAAGGCACGCGTCAGAGCCGTTCTGAGCTTTCTTCAGCTGATCAGCTCAGCTAACCCTTGTCTCTGAGTCACATGACTCCTCTCATGAAATGTCATTCTTTGTAGCATAAATATAATATATAATATATTATAATATATAATGATATATTATAATATATTATATATTAATGTATAATACATATTATAATATATGTTATATAATATATTATATAATATATAATTAATCTATATTAGTGAATATTATAATATTCATTAATATATAATACATATTATAATATATAATATAAATATAATATATAATATAAATATATCATACCTCTATCTGAATTAAGTTCAAAATTACATTTATATGGAATCTACTCCTTTTTCTAAAACTCTAGTTAGAAATCAGTGACATGGGGGCCAGCACCGTGGCTCACTTGGTTAATCCTCCGCCTGTGGCGCCGGCATCCTTTATGGGCAGCTGGTTCTAGTACCGACTGCTCCTATTCCAGTCCAGCTCTGCTGTGGCCTGGGAAGGCAGTAGAGGTTGGCCCAAGTGCTTGGGTACCTACACCCGCATGGGAGACCAGGAGGAAGCACCTGGCTCCTGGCTTCAGATCTGCGTAGCTCGGGCCGTAGCAGCCACTGGAAAGGGGGGATGAACCAACAGAAGGAAGACCTTTCTCTGTCTCTCTCACTGTCTAACTATCTATCAAATAATTAAAAAAAAAGAAAGAAATCAGTGACATAAAACAGAGACTGCATGCCGGCGCCGCGGCTCACTAGGCTAATCCTCCGCCTAGCGGCGCCGGCACACCGGGTTCTAGTCCCGGTTGGGGCGCCGGATTCTGTCCCGGTTGCCCCTCTTCCAGGCCAACTCTCTGCTGTGGCCAGGGAGTGCAGTGGAGGATGGCCCAGGTGCTTGGGCCCTGCACCCCATGGGAGACCAGGAAAAGCACCTAGCTCCTGGCTCCTGCCACCGGATCAGCGCGGAGCGCCGGCCGCAGCGCGCCGGCCGCGGCGGCCATTGGAGGGTGAACCAACGGCAAAAGGAAGACCTTTCTATCTGTCTCTCTCTCACTGTCCACTCTGCCTGTCAAAAAAAAAAATAAAGATAAAAAACAAAAAAAAACCGAAATGGCAACTTTAGGGGCTGACAAGAACTGATCATCTATTGCTATTGCAGCTGGATCTGTTAAGTCAAGTTGGAAAACAAGTTTGTCAAGTTACAAAGCAATATTTTTTAAAGGCAGTGATCTTCCTAGACTCGAAAAAGATAAATTCCTTTATACCTAATGTCCAGTTGCAGCTGAACTAAAATTCTCAGGCATGAGATTGTTATTTACCAAAGACATCTTTTTAGGTTTTAATTGAATTTGAGTCTAGTTTCCCACTGGACATTGTTCACATTAAGTTAGCTTTAAGGGGAGAGGACACCCATCAGAGCAGCTGAACACCCCTCCAGAGATTCCTAAGGAGGCAGAATAAAGGGCAATGACCTACAAGGAGACTCGTGAGAGCCCATGAAGAGGCAGGGTAGAGGGAGAAAAACTGGAGGCCTTGCAAAGAGACAATAACATTATACCCCAAAACCAAAAGCCAATCCTGGAAGTGTCTAATCGGGCTGTCAGTCAAACCAGCCCCAGGGATGAGGAGTCACGTTAGAGCTATCTCAAGAAGTCCAAGAGTTCATCATATGGATTGATCCATATATATTCAATAGCATATGAGGCTTTAGGACCCAGATTCATGCCTAGAAACAACCACCACCACCCCTAGACAAAATTACAACAGTGGGGGCAATGGTCACTGGCCAAAAACTCTCCTTCACTGGGATTAAAAGCCTCACCAGTAGTCAAAAGTGATAACAGAAGGAACTTTTAGCTCACTAAATAGGCCCAAGGACCCTGTGACAGTCTGGAAAATTGTTTAATGCATACTGGAGCACATGCAGGGAAATAGAGGCAAGGAGCCAGTTAGGGAGCAGAGGTCTTTCTGAGTCAGGGAGTCAGAGTAGAGGGACTGGCACTTTTCACAACTCATTTAGGCTAACTTCTCCATCCTCTAGCTTGTAAGCAGGCCAGATGGTGCTGTGGAAAAGGATGAGGCATTTTTCTTTAAGCTCAGGGGTAAAAAGAGTCCCAAAGTCTAAGGATGCATTCCCACAGAATGCCTATGCCTCCTGCGATGAGAGTATAAAAATGGAAGCGTCCCTCAGCTCTTATCTCTCCTGAGTTTGAGATGTCTTGTTGCTGTGGATTCGTTCTAGGAGGAAGAGCATGGTGGAGGCAAGAGACAAAGACACCGGGAGTCAGGTGGAAGCAGACTAGAGGCAATGAGCTTGAAGCCTCATTTATTTCAGTTGGTACAGCAGCTTATATAAGCGAGGCAGCCAATCCAGTCAAGGGGCGGTTTATGCCCTAACCAATCACTGCCTGTTGCCAGACAGGCTTCTTTGTCAGGTGGGTTCTGAAGCCATTCCTGAGTAACTGACGCTCGCTTGCCAGCAGGCATCTTCACACAGCATTCTCATTCCACAATGTCTCTCAGAATCTTCCCGCTGTCTGTGGCTTCCAGAAGTGGACTGAAGCCCTCAGAAAAGGGAAGAATTGAGGAGGGGTTAGCACGTGTTACCCATGCTCCCTCAGCCTGCCATGCCAGTATCCTCAGGTGTATAGTAGAACATGCAGGGAGTGATCAGCTCCTTTTATTCACAGTGTGCTAGACTGGGCCTCGGACTGGTCAAATATATATTGTCACTTTGTTCTCCTACATGAAGAAAAATAGTTGTTCTATGCCTCTTAACCTTGAGTCTTCTCTATCAGGCCAGATTTTGACAACGAGCCTTCATGGCAAGAGCCTTAGCAAACAAAGGTGCTTCAAGCTAGAGTGTGGAGAGACGTTACCAGTTCTGGTTACCACCTAGGTTGGTGACTAGGTGGGTGAAGGGATAAAGAAGCAGAGTGGGGGAATAAAAATTCTCCCAGTAAACCTCCTCTGAGGTATGAGCTACATAGGAAGGAGGAAGGTAGGGAATACCAGAGACATGCTGAGACTTATCTGCACAAGTTCTGGTCATGTGGGGAGCTGCATCTAATGGGACTCTAGATTGAAAACTACTGGACTACAGATGGGATCATTAAACTTTAACCCAGAGCTAATGAACAAAATACCTACAAAATGCCTACTAATGGGACCAAGAATTCAAGTAAGAACTGAGGTAACCTGGCAAGGTTAAGAAAGCATTTAGAGGAGCAGAGAGAGATGGAGATCTTGCCGGGATCTGGGGTAAAGGAAAAACTCACTGAGGCATGGAGCCCAGAGCCCACAGCCTCGCTCCAAGCTGTGTCCAGTATCACCGACGAATTAGCCTCCAAGAAGGGAAGGACAGAATTACGTTTTCGGCCAACACCCTAATGGCCGCCAGGCCGATCCCGTGAAAGGAAGCTGAGTTGGACCACATCATCATTCCCAGAGCTGAGATGAGAAGTAGGAAGAGTGGAGCCTTGGGCTCTGCAGCTTGTGAGGACTCTAGAAGAGCAGGGGACTTGCTCCCTGCAGCAAAGTGCATTTCCCAGCCCAACACCATTCCAGCTGTCGGGGCCTGTGCCTGCAAGAGACCTTCTGGAAGCACTGGAGTGTAGCCCCAGCCAGAATCTGTCAGTTGTCTCGAGGCCTTCTCCCAGTTCCTCACGAGGGGCCAATCTACACCGGAGAAGAGAGGAGTTAGAAGAGAGTCTCAGCTGCAGGGGATTGCTCTGGCCCTAATCAGCAAGCCTGGCCCCTGAGTCTTCAGTATGGCAGCCATGATAACCACTTTTAACTGGCTGACCGGGACCTGGTGTTTTTGAGAAAATGGGAGTTGCTAGGGAGGAGAGTGAAATTCACCAATAAAAGCAAGAGCTGTCTGTGGGGAGCAACCCGGACTGGACTGAGTTACTGGAATTAAGACTTATTCTATGCATCTGCCCTCCCACAATATGGCGCTGGGAGAGGAGAAAACAGCTTCTACGCAGCTGCCTCTTGCCAACTTGAGTGATGACCTCCAGGAGCTGATCCCGCTCCTGATTGGAGGAGAGCAGCGTACTCGGCGTGTGGGTAGCCGAGTTGGGATTGGCGGAAGAGGACTATAAAGGAGGAGAGAGACAACATGCACCAGGAACATCTAAGGGGAACATCTGAAGGAACACCTGTGCAGCCCCCGAGAGAGCCGGCCGGCGGTGTGCCGCTCCCCCGCGGAAGTGGGGAAAGTGGCCAGGGGGAACCGCCCTTCCACGGAGGTGGAAGGGACGGTAGCCAACCCGGGAAGAACCAGCAGCAAACCCGGGGAGGGCCGAGCAGACAAAAGAACAGCGCAGGGTCCTGTGTCGTTCCTCCACGAAGACGGGGAGCGACAGCTGTCCACATGCTCACTAGTCTGGGGGGATGACCCTGACACTGGTTGGAGTTGAACTTGAGTGGGATCCATGTCGTGTTGGAGTTGCTATCCACGTCACAGCACCAAAATGTAGGGGTGAGATGGTGGTGGCAAAAATAGTATTACCTCAGTTCTTTGTCTCACATGGAAGAAGAAGTTCCAAACAGACAAGGCAAAGAGAAAAGCAAGATTTATTAGAGTCAGAGACCTCCAGCCAGAGTGGCATGGAGGGGGCTCCAAGGGAAGCAAAATCCCTACGACTTTCTCGAGACAACA